CTTGTGTTCATTGTGGATGTCAAGGCCAACAAGCACCAAATTAAACAAACTGTAAAAAAGCTCTATGACATTGATGTGGCTAAGGTCAACACTTTGATTAGGCCTGATGGAGAGAAGAAGGCCTATGTTCGACTTGCTCCTATGATGCTTTGAATGTTGCCAACAAAACTGGGATCATCTAAACTGAGTCCAGCGGGCTAATTCTAAATATAAATTTTTCTCACAAAAAAAAAAAAAAAGTAAATTTTAAAAGCAGGTAGATATTTGCCTCATAAAATACTTCACTATTGAGTTCTAAGAAGCCAGATTCACAAGTTCATTCAAAAGGTAATTAAGTCTGTCGTGAAGGCATTGAAAAAGATGAGTCTAAAGAATTGAAATGGGTTTTGGGGAAATAATCCAGGAACTCAGTATAGTAGGTTAAGTGGACTGTTAACCCAAAGGTTATCAATTCAAAACTACCAGCTGCTCCACAGGAGAAAGACGAGACACGTAGCTTCCACACACTAAGATTTATAGTTGGAGAAACACAACAGAAGGTTGCCATGAACTGGAATGGACTTCATGACAGCGAGAGGGAGGAAAGGGAATGATATATACGGAAAGCACTCTTTATTACTTAACTAAATAAATTTAAAAACAATTTTGGAGGATACATCTAGTCCTTAGAAGGTAGGGGTGCTGAGAGGTAACCTTTGAGAGTGAAGTCCCGTCACAAACTTGGTTGTACAGCTTTTGCTGTGACCACTCTGGACTTTGCTTTCTTCCTCCTGAAGATCAACCCATACTTTGTACCCAGGCAGTTCTGAATCCATATGATCACCATTATTATTGCTTGCCCACTCAGTATACTTTGGTTTAAACTTTAAGTTCCTGCAGAGGTGAGATTTATATTTCCAAGATGAAGAAAAATAGCAACTGACAAGCTTTAACACTGGTACTATTTTAAAGGGATTTAGTAAAATTTTCATAAAATTTGGGAGATTTGAAACCTCACAGTGATAAGCCATTGTCCGTGATAGCTCTAAATGTTTTTAATTGAGATTTTAAGGAAAGTTTATAAAGAACTTGGATTTCCATTCCTTCATTGTTGCACATTTTCCACTCTGTCCTCCCCACCCGCAGTTCACTTTTTTCTTTGGAAAAAAGGTCTTTCATTGTTACACAGTCCCCTCTCCCCCAGACCACTTTACTATGCAGCTCTTATTCTGGACTCTTGTCATGCAAATAGTACCTAATCATATATTCCTTTTATACAGTTCTCTCCCTTGTCTGTTTCAATGCCATGCACATTATTTATCCCCTCTTTTCTTAGTTCCCCTAACTCCCATGTCAGTCCTGTTTTATAACAGTGGCATTATGCAATATTTGTCCTTTTGTGACAGATACTTTACTCAGCATCATGTCCTCCAAGGTCACCCATTTTGTTTAATAGTTCATGAGTTCTTTGTATTTCAGTTCTGCATAATATTCCATTGTGTGACTATACCAGAGCTTCTCTATCCATTTGTTGATGGACACTTGGGTTGTTTCATTGCTTTGCTACTGTGAACAAAGCAGCAATAAACATGGGTGTGCATATATCTGCTTGGGTGGCAATTCTGGGTTCTTTAGGGTATATTACCAGTAGTGGAATTTCTGGGTCAAATGCTATTTCTAATTCCAGCTTTCTGAGAAAGCACTATACTGCCTTCCATAGTGGTTGCACTATTTTACACTCCCACCAACAGTGAATAAGAGTTCCAGTTTCTCCACAACCTCGCCAGCATTTGATGTTTGCTGCTCTGTTGAATTTTGCTATTCTTACTGGGGTGAGATGATATCTCATAGTTGTTTTGTCTAAATCTTTTAATGAATAAATTAAGATAATTGGGTATTTTCTTAGTTCCCTACATAAATGTTGTTGTTGTTGTTGTTGATTGCCTTCAAGTCAAGCACGACTCATGGTAACCCTATGAACAAAAGGCCTGAAGCCCCTCTACTAACTATCAATCAACATTTATCAAAGTTCACAGTTTCCAGAGGCATGTTGCTTAGGAAGTGGATGCCACTCCTACTATTATTAACTTTTAAATTCATGTAACATTGTATTTAAGGGATCACATATGTTTGGAAAATACGACTGTAGCTCTTGCAATAGTTTGTGTGAAGCAGTTGAATTCTGGAAGGTAGGTTCTCTTGTTTTACTGAAAATCGGGCTTAAACTGGTTGCTTTTTATTTCCTTCACAATCGTGTGTGGGATGATTTGTTGCCTAGATTTATTAGATTTAGCTAACAATCAGCTGTGGGCTGGAAGCCTCTTGTTTAATTCAATCAGGATCTGCTGGTTTGTATTAACAGTCGGTTGGGCCAGAGTGTTAATTTTGTTTGGGAAAAATTTTCTTCTATGTGGTATAGCACTGGTCAATTTGCAGTACTGAGATAACTGGGGGTTGCTGTGATACTGAACGCTGTGCCCCTGGTTTGTAAAATGTCATAATGGTTACCCATGGTGGATAGTGTTTGGTAGAGCTCCCAGATTTAGATAGGGTTGGAAGCCGAATTGGCATCCACTTCCTAAATAATATGTCTTTGGAGACTGTGAACATTAGACAAATGATGATAGTTATAGAACAAGGTTCAGATCCTTTATTTATAAGGTTTCTATAAGTCATACTTGACTCGACGACAATAACAATAACATCTCTTTCAAAACTGTTATTTAAAGCATTATCTCTTTTACTACCTCATTTTCCTACTGGGAAAAGTGGCAGAATACATTTTACTGGAGCTACTGTCTGGGTGAAAAACACTTTTTTTTCCCCTTCATTTTTTTAATTATTAATTTTAATGAAAATTTACAGACTTTGCATTTCCATTCATTCATTGTTGCACTTTTCTCCCTGCCCACCCCTCCCCCCAGCACACACTTCTCTTTGAAAAGTAAAAGAAGAATTCTTTGATTGTTATACAATCCCTCCCCCCAAGTCCTCTCCACTATGTAGCCTTCATTCTGGACTCCTGTCATGACAATAATACCTAATCACATATCCCTTTTAAACAGTTTTCATCCTCATCTGTTTCAATGCAGTATACATTATTTATCCCATCTTTCTCATCCTCTCCCCAACCCTGATGTCAGTCCTATTTTACAACAGTGGCACTATGGAGTATTTGTCCTTTTGTGCTGAGATATTTCACTCAGCATAATGTCCTCCAGGGTCACCCATTTCAAATAATATTGCATGAGTTCCTTGTTTTTCAGTGCAGCACAGTATTCCATTGTGTGAATATACCACAGCTTCTCTATCCATTCATTTTTTTTTATGAGCATTTAGATTGTTTCCAACTTCTTGCTATTGTGAACAAAGCAATGTACTTAACCATTCATCAAATGGGTGAAATCTGGATGGCTTCTAGCTTTTAGTTATTACAAATAAAACTCTTATAAACATTTCATATAGGATTTTTATCGTATATGTTTTTATGTGAACATAAGTTTTCATTTTTCTTGGATATACCTTGAAATGGAAATGCTAGGTGTCAGGGACTTTTCTTTCAGAAGTGAATGGTCTCTTGTTTCCTAGTCTGTCTTAGTCTGGAAGAGCTACTGAAATCTGGAAACTCCACTGAAACTTGTCCACCATGAGTGACCCTGCTGGTATTCGAGATATCAGTGGCACAGCTTCCAGAATCATAGAAACACACAAGTCACCATACGATGACAAACTGACAGAAGAGAGGTAGAAGTGAAACTCAAGTGCTCCTTAGGAGGAAGTTTGCTGAGACATTGTCTTGCATACTTTGGGTATGCTATCAGGAGGAGCTAGTCCTTGGAAAAGGCTTCATGCTTAGAAAAGTGGAGGGTCAGCAAAGGAGAGGAAGACCACAAGATGACTGACAGAGCCACTGAAACAAAGGGTTTAAGCACAGCAGAGACTGAGGAGGGCACAGGATTCAGGAAAGTTTCCTTCTATTGTACATAAGGTTGTGATGCGTTGGAACCAACATGACATAACGTAACAACAGTGCCAAGTTAATGCTTACTTTTAGAAATATTTCCATAGTGTTTTTCCAAAGTTTCTCTTTTGCAGTCCCGCCAACAAGGCATGGCATTCTGATTCTTTCACATTCTCCCCAGTACTTGTTTATACCTGTTTGCCATTTTTGGTAAGCCATTTGGTGGTGGTGTTCATAGGGAGTTGCACTACGAACCAAAAAGCTGGGTCTCACTGGTAGTTCAAATCCACCATTAACTCTGAAAGAGAAAGATGGGCAATCTGCACCTGTATGACTTTACAGCCTTGGAAATCCACTGGTGGGACAGCTTTGAGTCAGTTTCAACTTGACAGCAATGAGTTGAACAGCAACTGTTGAATAGGTATATAATTCCACCTCATTGTGATTTCAATTTGTACTCGTCTGTCC